GTGTGTGTGTGTGTGTCTATGTGTGGACCCCTCACTGGTGTGTGTGTGCACATCTGTCTATGGCCCCCTCACTGGTGTGTGTGTGTCTATGTGTGGACCCCTCACTGGTGTGTGTGTGCACATCTGTCTATGGCCCCCTCACTGGTGTGTGTGTATGTCTGTGGGTGGACCCCTCACTGGTGTGTGTGTGTGTGTCTGTGGGTGGAGCCCTCACTGGTCCTCGTGCACTCTGTATGGCTAGAGGTCAGTATCAGTTGTCTTCCATCACTTCTCCACCTTGTTTTCCAAGACAGGATTTCTTGTGAACCTGGAGTTCACCATTTTGGCTAGACTGGCTGGCAGGAGCCACAGGCTCTGGCCATCTCCTCCCCGGTGAGTGGGGTGGGGGTGGGAGTTAACAGGTACACTGTGTCCTGTCTACTTTTCATGGGGATCTAGACTCAGGCCGTCCTGCTTGTGCAGCTCCTGGCCTACAAATGGCTCTGGGAATGTTTTTCTTTCTTCTTATCTCTCTGGTTTTCTTTATGGGCCTCTATAGCTATATCCTTCTGTCTATCTCTCTCTGTCTCTTTTAATCGCTGTCTCTGTTTCTGTCACACACACACACACACACACACACACACGCACGCACGCACGCACACCAGTTTTGGGCTCAAGCTCTGGAATCTGGCACATCTAGGCCAGCCCTCTGCTGCCAAGTTAGACCTCCAGCCCCCAGAGTGCTTTGTGATTACAAAGGAAAAGTAAGTGAATGCGACAGACCATAACCAGCTGGCCCCACTAACCATGGGACAGACAGACACTCTGTGTCTGCTAGTGGGATGTACAGAAGCCACACTCCTTAGGGAGCATTCCTGCTAAGAATACAGCCTGCACTGACTCATGGGAATGTTAAGTCTTAGCTGTCAACTTGATGAGATCTAGAATGACTGGGGAGACAAATCTGTCACAGGCCGTGCCTGTGGGGATTATCTCTCTAGGTTACATCCACTCTGAGTGGCACCATTCCCTGGGATGGATTCTTCACTGCATAAAAAGAAGAGCTGACCACAGGCATCCATCCCTCTGCTTCTTTGCTCATACATTGAGTGCCTTCGTACATTGAGTAGGCCTGTCTTTCCTGAATGTGGTATAGGGCTTTGACTTCACTTCACAGTTGCTTCCTGTTCTATATTATTCAGATTGTCCTATCAGAGTTTTAAAAAATTACCCAGAAATCTCAGGGGCTGAACATCTAGTCTTGTCAATCATAATCTCAGTCCAAGGTATGAGGCTTCAATGTTACTTTGCTGTACCGGCCCACCCTAAGTGCAAGGAATTCTGGGAAGTGTAGTCTTTTGTAGGATCAGAGAGAAAAATGAAATCAAACCTATCTACCATACATTGTCTGAGTATTTCAGGAGCCAACATTGTTCAAATGTATATGTATGCTGAACTCAGTGGCACATACCTTTAATTCTAGCACTTGGGAGGCAGAGGCAGGTGGCTCTCTGTGAGTTCCAGGCTAGCCAGGTCTACAGTTGAGTCCTAGGCCAGCCAGGACTACATAGTGAGTCCCTGTCTCAAAGAATAAAAATCAAAAAGCACCAAAAAATGTATATATGTGCACATATGGTGTGTGATATGTCTGCATGCATACCACCACACACATATGGCAGTCAGAGGACAACTTTGTAGAGTCAGTTCTCTCCCTCCACCTGGAAGTCCAGGAACTGAACTCGGGCCACTAGGTTTTCATTGTTGGTGTGACAAATACTTGTAGATCCCCATGTCTGGGCTCTGCTGCTTTTGAGACAGGGCCTCGTGTAACTCAGGCTGGCCTTTTGGACTCACCATGTCACTAAGGTCTTGAAATTATAGTCCTGCCTCCTCCACTTCCCAAAGGCTGAGATTACAGGCAGGTGCCCCATGCATATGCAGTGGTGGGGAATCAAATCCCAGGCCTCCTGCATGCAAAGCGAGAACTCGACAGATCTCAGCTTGGAATTAGAGATTTGAATTGACCTTCACTGCCTCTGCTCCACCTCCATTCAGTACTGCAGAGCTCTCCAGACTTTGGTATGGTGACGGCTCCAAGCAGGAAGATGGGAAGAGCTGTCGTAAATTTTCTAAGATCCTGTTAAAAGTTGTTGATTTGGGTTTTGCTTGTTGACAGGTTTGGATTTGTCCCTCGCTGTCTTTGTTGCCTCATCCCTCTCTGGACTTCTGCTGCCGCTTTGGCCTTCACTGCCCTGTGACCATGTTGGTGATTCTTGCCTTCATCATCATCTTCCACATCGTGTCTACGGCACTCCTGTTCATTTCGACCATCGACAATGTAAGTTCCTGTGCCCGACAGCCACCGAGGAGACTGTAGAGCAGGGTGGAAAACAGGGAGTAAGTGACTGTGATTGAGGTGTCCTGTCTCTGAGGCATCTCGTCCTAGGCTCAGGTCTGGATGAGGTCCTGTAAGGTGGGGTAGTTCACGTGACACTTGGCTCCCGGAAGCCCCCAAGGGTGAGCATGGCTCTCTTGCCATTCTCAATCTCCACACCATTGTCATGTGGAGTTAGAAAGCTCTTCTGTTTTTTTATTGAATATTTTATTCTTTAAATTTACTTACTTTATTTTATGTTAATGGGCATTTTCCCTGTGGGCTTTTTGTGTACACCACCTGTGCTTGCTTGGTGCCCAAAGGAGTCCAAAAAGGATCTTGATGCTCTGGAACTGGAGTTATAGATGGTTGTGAGCTGCTATGTGGGTGCTGGAAATTGAACCTGAGTCCTCTACAAGAGCAGCCAGTCCTCTTGGCTGAACCGTCTCTGAACCGTCTCTCCAGCTTCTATTTTACTTTTTATGTTAGAATACAAAATAAGTTCTCCAAACCTTTGCCTGTTATACTTCAGTCAAGGAACTAATATCTAAAATACATAAAGAACTACAAAACTTAAATACAACACACACACACTCATGTACACACATGTGTACACATGCACACAGACACATACACTCATACACGAGGGTGAATCCAGCTCTCCTGTGGTTCTTAGTTTACACACACACACACATACACACACACACACACACAGAAAGAGAGAGAGAGAGAGAGAGAGAGAGAGAGAGAGAGAGAGAGTGTTAATAGACAAACAAATTGAGCAGACAGTTCTCAAAAAAATACATGTAGCAAATAAATATTTTTTTAAAGTGCTCAACATCCTTAGCCATCAGGGTAATGCAAACTTAAACTCCTGTGAGATTCCACCTCACCTTTGTCAAATGGCTCTCGTCAGGAAAATAAATGACAACATTGTGTTCAGCAGTGTAGCCACTGATAATTTGCCTGCATCTCAGTGAATAACCCCACCCACACTCATGGAGACATGACCAATTAAACTCAGTGGGTCACACAACCACCAGGCAAGACCTGAAAATGTGAAGGAAATTGTTAGAAAGAAGAGGGGGTTCTGTGGGGAGGGAGGAGAGCGCTGAGAGGGAGGAGAGGGCATCCATGTATGAAGTAGTCAAAGAAGTTATAGCACGACCTCCTAAGGATTTGAGAAGGTGAGGGGGTGGGGAGGCTGCTAGGATATGTGTGAGGTACCTGCAGAGGGGAGCTTATGCTGTAGGGATGGATGGTCAAGGGCAGGTCAGGAGGAGGGAAGAGAAGAGCAGGAGAGGCAATCAGCACAGATTTACTTTGACAGTGCCAGTGAAACCTAATATTGCGGGTCTTGATTATCTATTTTTTAAATAAGGTAAAACTAGAACTGCCACTAGCCCAGCTACACACCAAGAGGGTGTATTCCCAAAGGCCCTGTATCCTACCACAGGGATGCCCACACATCCATGCTTATTGCTGTTGTATTCACCATGGCTAACAGCATGGTAATTCATGTGAAGGCCATCTTGTGCCTGGCAGATGGCCTAACAACATCTCTGGCTTTTGTCACTGGGTGTCAGTCTTGCTTCCACTCAGAGTTGAAGGAATGTTTCCTCCAGATGTTGACAGCTGTCCTACAAGGAGCAAAATCAGCCTGTATGACCTACCTTTCTAAACTTTCCGCATGTAACTTGTTTCTTCAGAGTCCGACTGACAGCTGTATTATTATAATAGCAAGAGAGTATTTGATATCCTCTCGGCCCCCAGCAGGAAGTGATATTCTAACAAAGACCTGGTCCTGACCCAAAGGCTGGGCTTTATCTCATCATTTCAAACTGCAGACTGTTAAAGGGAAGAAAACTGCTCAGAAGGCCAAGTCAGTGGGGAACTCTAGGAGTGTCTGTCTGTCTGTCTGTCTATGTGTGATGTGTGATGTGTGTGTGTGTCATATTGTCTGATAATGTATATGTGTGTGTTTGTGTGATGTGTATGTGTATTTGTGTAGTGTGTGTGTGGTGGTGTCTGATATTTATGTGTACGTGTATTTGTCGTGTCTGTATGTGTATGATAATACATGCATGTGTATTTGTGTTGTGTGTGTCATGTGTGTCTGTGTCTGGTGTTTGTTTGTCTTTCTAGTGTTTGTGTGAAACATAGATTAGCTGACGTAAGCTGAGTAAGCCAACGGCAGCTGTCCACACTGGAGAGGTTAAGGACCCCATAGCTGCTCGGACTACAAGGCTGCTGAATGCCTCAGCAGCCCCAGTATGGCACTGAAGTTTAGAGGACTCCTGGAGAGCTGATAGTATCTGGTCCATGATGGATGGCCAAAGACACTGCATTCCCATGTCAGCAAAGGTGGTAGCAGTGGTAGACACTATCACTCAGGAAAAAAGGGCTTGCATGTGCGAGCACATGTACACAGACACACACACACCAGACAGACAGATACACACACGACACAGACAGGCAGGCAGACAGACACACACCAGACAGACACACATACCAGCCAAATAGACAGACACCCCCCCACAGGTAGACAGACAGATATACCAGACAGACACATAGACAGATACACCACACATACACACATACACACACACACACACACACACACCACAGATAAACAGACAGACAGATACACCAGACAGATAAATACCACACACACATACACACACACACACACACACAGGTAGACAGACAGACAGACAGACAGACAAATACACCACACACACACACACACACACACACACAGCCTTCCTTCAGCTTCCACCCATCCAGGCCACCAGCTTACTGGGTAGATTGTTCTGCCCATATTATTCAGGGCAAGCCTTATTTTCTTCTGTTATTCGTCCTTGTCAGCCTTCTTTGGAAACATTCTCATAGACGCAGAAGTGTGTTTAGACTCTCCTAGTCATCTCTTTGTCTAACCAAGTAGACAGTCATGGTCATACATCCCAAGAGTTAAGGTGCACTGTGGATATGGCGCCCAGTGCTGCCCGAATATCCACCCCGTATAATCCTAACAGGGGCAACATTAATCATTACACCTGTCAGTCCGATGACCCCCTCATGTGCTTTATCCTGGGTTGCCTGGGAGGTAGGGACCTGCCTCTGATGGTTCTCAGAGAAGGAATTGAACCCCCAGTTAGTCCTGGCCCTTGCTAGGACTCAAACCATCCCAGAGGCTCCTGATTCTAGACACTGCCAGGGGATATGAACACAGTCTGCCTGTTGGAGGGTCTTGCTGAGCTGCTGAGTGGCCCAGGCTGTGGTCACATAGACGTGTTGGCTTGGAGTATTTGGAGCTGCCAAGGAAAGGGTCCACAGTGTGGGAAAAATTGTACTGAATTTTGTTCTGGAATTTTTGTTTTCATTTCCTGCATCTTCTGGGCTCCAGCAAGGTCCCAGGCTTAGTGAAAGGGCTGAACAGGCCCTGGGGCAGGAGTGTGTTCCGACACCCAGGTGTTTGTGTTAGCCTGACACGGAGGAGGACCGAGGAGTTGAGACAGCCTGTGAGACAGTCGAGTTCAATGTGGCTTGAAATCTGCCCTGTGGACGTCTGTGGGCCCAGTGGGTGGGCAGGAGGCCCCTAGGGCAGGGAAAGGAGAGGGCTGATTCTAGGGAGAGCGAAGGCGCTGGGCTAAGGCAGAGAATCCCTCCTCTGGTCACAGGATGCTCCGCTTTTATTTTAATTCTTTTTTGTTTGAATACTTTAACATTTAAGCATTTATTTATAGTCTTCATTCCTTTGGGTGGGCACAAGCCGTGGCTCATGTGTGGAGGCCAGAGGACAGCTTTCTGGACTCGGTTCTCTCCTTCCACCATGTGGGTCCTGAGACCAAATCCAGGTCATCGGGCTCAGGAGGATCTGTCTTCATCCCTGAGTCGTCTCACCAGCCCCGGCGAAACTTTTTTGAAATTAATTTTTAGGTTTATAAAGTAGTGGGTTTAATGGTGGCATCTTCATACCTGTGTGATGTTGGATTTTGTTCTCATGGTTCTCCCTCTCTCTGCCCTTCCTTCCCCTCCCTTCCCTCTGCCTCTCCTTCCCCTCCCCTCCCTCTGCCCCTCCTTCGTCCTCCCCCTACCAGCTGGGTCTTTCTCCTTTCACAGTTAGCACCCTGCCTCTGCTCATCATGGGAATTCAGTTACATTCTATTTCCCACCTCTTGCGGGTCTGATCAGGTCCTAGTCCCATGGCCTATAACTATACAACCCTGAGTCCAGTTCTTTGTGGAAGAGAAACGAAACTCCAGTGTTTGTCTCCCTGAGCCTGGTGTGCTCACCCACTCTCCTCATGTTAGGATTTTCTTTTTTCTTTTTTTTAAAGATTTATTTATTATGTATACAGCATCCTGCCTGCATGTACATCTGCAGGCCAGAAGAGAGCATTAGATCTCTTTACAGATGGTTGTGAGCCACCATTGGTTGCTGGGTACTGAACTCAGGACCTCTGGAAGAACAGCCAGTGCTCTTAACTGCTGAGCCATCTCTCCAGCCCCGATTTTATTTTTTCTTATGTGTACCTGTGCCACATGTGCACCTATCAGACAGCCGTCTAGGCTGGTTCCATCTCCTGGCCCTTTGGCCTCACCCTTTCTTCTGCACACACCCCCTGCCATTCTGGTGGAACTGGCCTCCACTGACCCTCAGTATGAGAACATGAGCCACCTCAGATCCTTCTGAAGACCTGCAGCCTGGCATCCCATGGGACTCAGTAGAGACCCAAAACCGACCTGAGGCCTCTTGACTCACAAGTGTGCATTTGAACAGAGTCCCCAGGGGACTCACTGGTGGTCTGCCCTTGAGAAGCAGTGAGTCCCACTCCGCGGCCCAGCAGGACTCTGGATCTGAATCCTTAAGCAGCGGTTTCCTTTGCCTTTGCAGGCTTGGTGGGTAGGAGACGGCTTCTCAGCTGACCTCTGGAGAGTGTGCACCAACAGCACAAACTGTACAGAGATCAATGACCTGAGCGCCACTGAGGAGTTTGAAGGTGAGTGTGAGTGGCTGGGGCTTCGTCATTCCCACTCCCTTCCCTATTACGACTCCGAGGAGACCCAGTCAGGCCTATATCAGGAGATCCAGGCCTATCTGTTTGCTCTCTGTCCCTGTATGTCATGTCGACTGAACCCCAGGAACAACCAGCTATGGTGGTAAACTGGACCACTGCTGTGCCTAGAAGCAGTGTTTTTGGGCCTCTGCTCTTGGTGTTCCATGTCTCCATGTGGGAATTTCTGTATTATTGCTTTTTAAATCAGGGATCAGTGAACTACCAGCTAAATGCAGCCCAAGACCTGCTTTGGTATGGCCCATGAGCTAAGAATGGTTTTGACATTTTAAAAGAATTGTAAAAAGAACAAAATCCCCAGAAGGGAGGAGGAGGAGGAGAAAGAGGAGGAAGAGGAGGAGGGAGAGGAAGAGGAGGAGGAAGAGGAGGAAGAGGAGGAGGAGGAGGAGGAAGAGGAGGTGAAGAAGAAGAAGAAGAAGAAGAAGAAGAAGAAGAAGAAGAAGAAGAAGAAGAAGAGATGATGATGATGATGATGATACCAGAAGTCTCCTGGAAAAAAAAAATCATTGTGCTGGTTCTTACTTCTTCCACATGTAAATGTATTTCCTATGTAAATGTATCTGAGCTGTACTGTATCATCAGCGGTAAACTGGTGTCACAAGCTGTGGAAACAGGAGAAAATGCTAAACTAAAAGCCAGAGACCCTCAGTGAAGTCTGACCCAACTGACTCCCTCTGTCTCTGTTTGCCAGAGGCCACAGCACACATGTGGACATCAGAGAAAACCTGTGGGAGTCAGTTCTCTGTGACTCCAACTCAGGGTGTCCAACATAGAGGCGGATGCGTTAGTGAACTTTCTCCAGCTCACCCTCTCCCTACCACTTTTTTGTGCTAAAGAAAACCAAAACCTAAGCAACCCAAATGCAGTTGCAGCCCCTGTAGCTGTGCGGGGACTGGTCCTGAAACCCCACGAGGATCCCCAAGGATACGAAATGGTACAAACGTGCTTGGATTCTGCGCACGCCACCTCAGTCCCGTAGTTTCTAGACTTACAACATTGAATACAATCTCCGCATGTTGTTTTATTTTGTGGATCCAGTATGATGCATGGCAAATTCAGATTTTGATTTCTGGAACTTTCCAGGTCCTCCCTTTAACTGACACATCTCAAAAATGCTTGTTAAGTCCAAGAATACAGAAGCTGCTGCTATGGAGGCCTGGATATCTTAGCAGGTATTATGAGGCTCTAACCCTGCAAGTGAGCCTGTTCCTGAGGCCTCCAGGAACCCCTAAACCACAGCAAGGTCACATCCCTCCCCCTGACTGACTTTCTGCTTTTGGTGCCCTTGCTGGGCTTCACACACACCGGTGTCATGGCCACCAGGCCCGCTCTGCAACTCGTCACCAAGGAACCTCTTTAAAAGCACAGAGCCATTTTTCCTCACAAAACCAGTTTCTACATTTGCTTCATCACAGGATATGAATCACCTGGGGTGCTTGCTAAAAATACAGCATCTTGGCACCCACCCCAGAGTAATGACAGCTGAGTGAGGAATCTGCATTTTAAATGAGCCATCCTAGGTAGCTCCTTGAAAATTTTAATAAGTAATGTTCAAAGCCATGGGGTCACAACCTTGGCCCACTTTGAAATTCCCTGGGAGATTTTAGAAGTGTTCTCAGTGCCTGATGTTCCGTTCATTTTGTCTCAGGGAAGTCTGGTAATAATTTTTAGAATACAGCTATCATTTTACAAACATGAAAATGCATACTTCTTAAGGACTCCTCCGTGCATTGAGTTTTGACAATTGTTATAATCCTAGCAAGCCACCACTGAAAGCAAAGCAGAGGACATTTCTAATACCCCCCACAAGGTTCTTTAGTCCATTCCCCTCAATTCCTACCCAGGGAACCCTCCCTCCTCCTGCTAGCTTATTTACCCCTGATCTTGGACTTTGAAGGGTGGGGTCAGGTGATGTGTTCATGCTAGAGAGTCTGTTTGTTTGCTGTAAGGAAATAGGAAGCAGGACCCTGATGTGCAGCTCAATGCGGTAAGATCCATTGCTGTTAACGCCTCATTGGGCCTTTACAATCTAAGCTCCCTCCAGCCATCAGGCAAGTCAACTAAAAAGGTTGGGCCCTGGCTGTTGCTCCTTTAAGAGTCTCCTTTTCCCAAGCCATAGGAGCTGCAATGCAGAGCAGGAAGAAGCCAGAGTCTTGGTTCTGGCTCCATCCCCTGTTCAAGCTGGTATTTGGCCCACTGCCTGGCTGGAGGAGAAGAGGAAGGTGGGCTGGCAAACTGCTAGGTAGCACCAACGCTCACACTGTCCAGGTGTATCCAGTCTGTGGCCCATGGAGCACAATGACTAGGAAGGAGGCCCAACACGATGTTGTAGATTCACTTAAGACATGAGTTTACCTTGGTTGTACAGATCTGTGTGAAGTTTACAGATGACGACTCTATGTCACAATGCCCAACGGCTGGGTGCAACCAGTCCTCTGACCCTCTGTGTGAAGCCTTCATTTTCTGCCCACAGATTTCTCTGTGATGCAGGCGGTGCAGGCCACCATGATCCTCTCCACCATCCTCTCCTGCATCTCCTTCCTCATCTTTCTGCTCCAGCTCTTCCGCCTCAAGCAGGGAGAGAGGTTTGTCCTGGCGGCCATCATCCAGCTCATGTCCTGTAAGTGAAAATGGAAGCAGCATGTACTACCTGCACACACGCGAGACAGCCTGCACTACTGCTTGCACACACACACACACACACGAGACAGCCTGCACTGCCTACACACACACACACACACACACACACACACACACACACACACACGAGACAGCCTGCACTGCCTGCACAAATACAAGATAGCCTGCACTGCCTGCACACACATACACACACACAAACACAAAACAGCCTGCACTGTCTGCACACACATACACGAGACAGCCTGCACTACCTGCACACATACAGGATAGCCTGCACTGCCTACATACATACATGCACACACACATGCACACACACACACACACGAGACAGCCTGCACTGCCTGCACACATACAGGATAGCCTGCACTGCCTATATACATACACACACACACACACACACACACACACACACACACACACACACACACACACGAGACAGCCTGCACTCCCTACACACACAATGAAACAGCCAGGAAGTGACTCTTTGGAGCATACTTATTTCAATAGCTGACAGTCTGCCAGATCAAAACCTGTCTTCCTCATCCTTTTCCTGGGCTCCCTCTAGTGGAGAGCCAGGGCAAACAATACATCAATTTCAAGTTCAGGCGTGGCCAGGTTGCTCTAGTCTCCAAGATCTACCTTTCCAACGCCTCATCTCTCTTGCACACATTAAGGCCATAGAGTCTTTCCTCTCAGTCACCACTTTGGATGGCATGTAGATTTATGGTTAACTCAGAAAAGACAGACCATTAGCAGGTGACACACAGACTTTCCTGCAAAATGAAGCTCTTCTCCTGCAGCGTGTGCAGTGCTTCTGTATCGCACCCCACCAAAATCACTGGAGGAGGGAAGTTGGGGAACATCTAGAAAGGACAAGTTGGCCACACTCTGTATGGAGGGGTTTGGATTTAGGGGGAAAGGGAAGGTGTCCCCAAAGCCTGAAGCCTGAGCTTGGGTACCATGTGTTGTCTGGGTGTGGAGTGGAAGGAACATATGTCAGGCAGAAATCCTGGGACGAAGAAGCCGAGCTGTGAGAGGCAGAATGTGGAGGCCAGACCAAATGTGTTCTCGTAAGCCATGGAAGAGACTTGAGGTCTGTATCCTAAGCTGGTGGGAAGCCATTAACAAGTGTTAGGTTAGGTCCAGATTATAGCACGGTCTGCCGTATTTCTGAGCCCTGGCTTTGTTCCTGACAGGTCTGTGTGTCATGATCGGGGCTTCCATCTATACAGACCGGCGCCAAGACCTTCACCAGCAGAACAGCAAATTCTACTACCTACTGCAAGAAGGCAGCTATGGCTACTCTTTCATCCTGGCCTGGGTGGCCACTGCCTTCACTTTCATCAGTGGCCTCATGTACATGATCCTGAGGAAGCGCAAATAGGTGTCAGAAGCCCGGGCACTCTCCCACAGTCTGGCATCCACGGTCACATGACCATTTTGTATATAATCATTTTTTTTTGTGGTTTTCCTAGCAAACATATTGTTTCCTTTAAAAGCTTTTATGAAGAAGAAGAGACAGAGGAGTTTCTGTGTTGTTGGGATTACAGGGGAAGGCTGGCATCCAGATGCCTGCCTACTGAAAATCTCACAAAGGCCCAGCAAGATCAGCCATGTGGAAATCCACAAGATGCTTCTCATGGGTGGCCCTGTGCTGTGGGTGTGGCCAAAGGTGGGGAAAGCCAGTCTTTGGGAACAGACTCTTTGTAGGTGTCTGCCCTGCCCCTCTTCCCCTGCCCACTCGACTCTGACAGCCACAGGTAGGATGATGAGGCCCAAATGCAGGACGTCTATGCTCAGATATTAAACCTAAGTCCATGTAAGAAGTGGGCAAAGACTGGCCCTGGTTTGTCTGCAAGGGACCCAGAATTTCCCAACCCCCTTGCCATGAGTTAGGTCATCACACACATTTATTGATGTTTGCTCTTGTTTGCTTTAAGGGTAGTGACCCTTGGCCCAGATGTAATGTTTAGGCATTGAGTATCCATAGGTAATTCCATAGGGCATCTATTACTTGTAGACTCACAAGTCTACTTCCAAGACCCTCAATCCTTTATCAAAGGGGGGTAGGCCTGGGTGTCTGAATTTCTGATGAGTTCCCTGCAATATGGTTAAATGCACTAAAGCTGGGGTTCAGAGCCCTAGAACTGGGGAGCAGTGCCACCCTGTAAATGTTACCAGTCTCATCACAATGAGATGACCCCACTGCCAGCCACATCTCGGCCTCCACCAGCTCTTCCTGCCTCTTCCACGCTGCTTACATCTGGGACACTAGTGTCCTACTCCCAGGCTATAGGCTGAGCAGCCTCCTCCCTGACCTACATGGGAAGGTCTCTCCTTTTCTTCCTGCCCTTTCTAATGTGGATGCTTCCTTTAGGCCCCTATTTCTGGAGCCTCGGAAGATCCATCTTCCATTCATTCATCCACCCATCCATCATTCAACATGAAAGGGTCTTGTCACATGTCAGGTGCAAGGGATACTCTTTCAAAACAGTCCCTCATGAGACTCGAAGTCTAGTAAAGAACACACGCCCTAAGCCAATTAGAGAAACCACCAACCATGATGGAACAGCAGGGATTCAAAATGTCCAGGGTGAGAGGGGCCCACTTTCTCTGTGTCTGCTTTTAAGTACCTTGATGGATCTCGGTTGCTCTGAACAGAGGTCTACTTGGTCCAATACTGGGTAGTGCCCACTGGGTTTCACCAGAGAATACTTCTGTAGAGCATTCTATACTCCCCACAGGGAGACAGGAAAGGATTCCCAGAGCCATGGCTCTTAAGATGGTCCTAGAAGGAAAATCCAATCATTTCCAAGTATTGCCTGGAACATGAGATCGTGGGGAGGTTTCCAGTAGTGCTGAAGGAGTGATGTCCACACTCGAGACCCAGGAGCTCTATGATGGCAACCTTCTCCCTCTGATACCCTTTTCCAGTTTTGAGCATCGAGTTGGAGAGGTGACTCTGGGACAGGGTGTGTATATTTGTGTTCTTTAAACACATTTGCATGCTTGAGGAGACGGGGTATTTGCCACTAGCTCAGTCCCAGTAAAGATGCGGGATGTTGGGTCTGAGTGGCTTTAGGGTCATCATTGACCTCTCCTCAGTACAAACTGACTTCCCTCCCTCCCTCTCTTCTATCCTTTCCTTCCTTCCCTTAGAGGGACAGCCAAGGTGACATGAGGCAGAGATAGGACAGATGATCACCTGTTGCCTTGAACTTTCTGAAGCTCACTGTTGGCTAGATCGTAGAGTTAGCTCCATGTCTTGTGAGACCCAGAGAAGGAGGCCAGTCTAATGTGTTCTCTATACCTTCGCCTTGGGGGCTTTTCTATAATAGTTGCTTTAAAAATGATGATCATGATGGAAACAGATCACCTTAGAACCAGAGACATGAAAGGCTGACCTGAGCCAGCACAAATTCCCACCTCAGAAACCCCCAGGGCTACAGAGATGTCCTTATCCAATTGGAATGGCCCTGTGGGTTGTCCCTGCTTGCCACTGTGACCAGCATTCAGTGCCTACAGCCACATATGACATGAGAAGTGCCTCTCCCGCTCTGTGCCCTGCGTTTGGGATCTGAAGAGGTGAGGGTGTAAGGGAGAACAGATTCGCCCTTCTAAGTAGGATCAGCTCTCAAGTGGTGCTTATCGCTAGTTATCGAAGAACAACGGCAGAGTCAGCTGCAATATCCAAGAAGCAAGCATTAGGACCAAACCTGTCACTGTATTTAAAGGAACTTTAGTTTGCATATCTTACATTTTTATAAAGTACTGTAATTCAGGGGGTGGGGCATGTGGCAGAGACTGACTAACCCATGTTTGTCATTTGCATTAAAATTATTTTGGGTCTCTGTTTAAAGAATTCGGATAATATGTGGTGGTGTTTGTTTCTGGTCCTCGATGCAGGGGAAGCAAGATTATTCTTGTTCCTTCCTACCCTCTGCTAAATCCGGTGGGCCTGGTATAACCAAGCAAATGGGTTGACATTCTAGAATGTTCGCTATGAACTAAAGCTGGATGTAGTCTCAATGTGGACCTACTATGCCCAAATATAGACTCACTACACACAACCACCCCCCTTCTCAGGAGCTGTATCAGTAAACCCACCCAGGTGGGATTATTGGTGGCTGGCATTTTTTGGTGGCTATTTTGTGGGTTCGTTCTTCTACCCTTCTTCACCCCCTTTCTTCCACCCTTTCAACTCCCTAACACTAGATAGGAGGAAAAAGGATAGAGATGAAAGGGGGTGAAGTTATCACTAGACTACTTCCTGCCTATTAGGGGCATGGAGTTCTTTTCGGGGAGCTAAAGCTTTGCTGTAAGAATATTTTTTTTTCTTCTTCTTTGCTTAACAAACTGTGTGTGACCAACAGCAACCAACAACCAACCAATAACCCACACTGCCTCACTGGGCCGTATTTATATACCTTCTGAAAACTACAGAATTCCAAACACTACACAATCAGAAACTAGCTGCAGCTAACAAAACCATGCCTCTGCTATAGAGCATGAGGCAGATCATAGTCAGCTGCTATGGACAATCTGAAGCTGCCTCATATCCTTAGACCTTAGAGCTTTGTGTAAGCAAGGCAAGTGAGCACTTTGTCTACTGAGATGTAACCGCAGCCCAAGTTGAGGGTTTTATTGTGTTTTGCATTTTGTTTTATGAGAAAGGAGAAAGACAATATTGACACAAAACCTAAAACAGCTTGGTGGGAGAGCCAGCAATACCCAGCCCCCTCCCGATCGGTGCTGGGTGACAGCTGCAGCAAAGACCTCCATTGAGAACTTCTGCTCTGAAGCCTGCTCCTCCTGGATGTAAATCTGCTAATGTCAGAATGCAACCATGTGCTGACTTATCCTAATCTCAGTGTATTCATTATTAACCATGGGGTTTTTGTCCCTCTCCCCTGCCCCCCCCCGCCTTGTAAAGTATTGCTACATTGAGATAAATTTATAGCTTGTGATTGGATTCCAACTTAAAATTTACTGAACAGTGGTCCTACTTATTTGTAGGTTCCATGTCCATGTTTCTAGGATCCAATCACTCAAAAAAAAAAAAAACGGGGGGGGGGGAATGTGTGTTTGTGTGCTGTGTGTACTTGTTAGTGTGGTTGAGCACACCTGTGTGTGTGTGTTTGTGTGTGTGTGTGTAGGCCACAGGTAGATGTCAAGGTATCTTTCCTTGATTGGTCCCCACACCTTTATGTTTTAATTGATTTATTTTAAAGTTGGTTAAGAGTGCATACTGCTCTTGCAGAGAACCTGAGTGTAGTTCCTAGCGCCCACAAAGTGCCACAGACTGTCTGTAGCTCCAGTTCCAGGGATCCAAGCTCTCTTCTGGTCTTCGTGAGCATCAGATACACAATTGATGCTCAGACATATATACAGGCCAATAACAAATCCATACTTGTAAAACAATAAAATTTAAAAACTGCCTTGGCCGGGCGGTGGTGGTGCACGCCTTTAATCCCAGCACTTGGGAGGCAGAGGCAGGCGGATTTCTGAGTTCAAGAGTTCGAGGCTAGCCTGGTCTACAGAGTGAGTTCCAGGACAGCCAGGGCTACACAGAGAAACTCTGTCTCGAAAAAGCCAAAAACAAAAACAAAAAACAACAAAAAAAAACTGCCCTGGATGTAAGCACACTTGGGTGTCTGTCTGTCTGTCTCTCTCTCTCTCTCTCTCTCTCTCTCTCTCTCTCTCTCTCTCTCACACACACACACACACACACACACACACACTGCATGCGGCATTTTTTGGGTCTTGATGTTTGCCTTGTCTATTCTCATCAGGCATTTTCTGCTTTTGGTGCAAACACTTTTGAAGTCATTTTGAGTGGGCACGTTGTGAAGAGTGATTTGTGTATTTCTTGGGTGAATTTCTTAGCAGGTGCTTTCATGCTGTCCCTGCAGGCAGAGTTCTTAGCCTTGGCACACTGATACTGAGAGTGGAGAATTGCCTGTGTGTGCTGTGCTAGACAGGGCTATACTTTCCCCCAGCATCTGTGGCCTCCAGGACAACCACAGGACACTCTCGCATGGCACTGTGTCACAACAACACCATCTTCAGATACTGCTAATTGTCCTGGATGGCCTCTGCCATGAGGTGTGTACCAGGAAACAACAATCAATTACCTCATTTTAAAATTTTTATTTTTTATGTCTATGGGTGTGTTTACATGTGTGTGTTAGTCCACACAGAGGCCAGAAGGTGTTAGACCTCTGGGACCTAGAGTTACAGGTGGCTGTGAGCTGCCTGATTTAGGTTCTGGAAGCCAGACCCAGGTCCTCTGTAAGAGCAAGTGTTCTTAACTGTTGACTTGTCTCTGCTGCCCTGGACCACGTCTCTTTACCCATACATCTGTTGATGTAAGTCTCATGTCAGTCATGGGAGACCATGAACAGCAGGATTGGTTTGAACAGGCTTCCTGGAGGCCTCGCCACTAACAGATGAAACAACACAGGTAAGTTTGGGTAGGTGGGTGGACAGGTGCTGGGACCAAGGCACTGCCTCGGGGATTAATGAGGAGGCTGAAAGACGAGGACCTTCCAGCAGGCGCTGCAGCTATCTCTAGAGCTGCAGACAGCTCACAGTAGCGTCCACACCTTAGAGAGGCCTGGCCTGCAGGCTGCATCCATGCCAGGTTGTAAGTAGATGTAGCTGCCACCAGAGTCCCTATATAGGGACTTATCCCCGACTAGCTTACAAATAAACGAGACTCAAATAAATGTGGTTATATTTGGCTTTGACAATTACTGGGTGTGTGTGTGGGGGTGACTTTTAATCTCTTCTAACTGCTGGCTTGGCTATCTCCCTAGCGGTGTACCCCAGATACTTGCTATTTCTCCTGGCCACACCCTCATGCCCCATCTCCCCTCTCAGCAGCTCCCTCCTCTCCTCTTGTTCTTCCTCCTTCTCCCAGGTAGCTCAAAACTCACCTACCTCTAATCCCTCTAGTAACTGGCTGTAGCTAATCTTATTTCATCAATAGTTTTAAATAAAGGAACAGGGTTTGCACAACAAAAGCTGGTAAATGTGGGAGTTCACTCATAGGCCCAGACCCTCTGGTACAGAATTTAGTATTACAATACATAGCGACAGACCAAACCTCAACACTGACTACTTTGTGGGATTGAAAGCTCTGAAGCTGAGGCCAGTGGGCTCAAATGAAGGGGATAGTTAGGACTCTTCTCAGTCAAGTCTCTTCTTGTCCTCTCTAAGAACAATAGATCATACCCTGAGGAGCTTTGAATACTCATGTGTATGTACACATGCACACAAATATATGACATGGAATAGGAGGAGGTGATGTCGGGGAAGGAGGGGCATAGAAAGGGAACGAAAGAGACGAATGCCGGAAAGAAGGACAGTTTTTTTCTCATGTCGTGTGTGTGTGTGTGTGTGTGTGTGTGTGTGTGTGTGTTTTACATATGATATCAAAGCAGGAAATAAAATAAAAATGTGATGACTTAAGTGGTGGCATGGTGGGGCACTAACACTTGGTGGGTAGAGGCAGAAGGATCAGAAGGTCCAGGTCAAACTGGTGAGATACCTCAGCAGGTAAAGGTGCCAGCTCTGGCAAGGTAAATTCAACTCCTGGAATCTGCATGCCGGAAGGGGAGAACTGACTCCTGAAAGCTGTCTCGAAAACACATACCACAGAGTGAGTGTGTGTGTGTGTGTGTGTAACAGATACTCATGGTCATCCTTGATTATGTGTTGAGTTAGAAGCCGGCCTAGGCTACATGAGACTCTATCTCAGCACACATACACAGAAAAAAACATGCCTTGATTCAATATTGTGGAACCAATGTTTTTATAAACATAAAGCTCGAGAAGAGGTGGAACAGAAGGGCCAGAGTTGTAGGAGCCATGGATGAACATGCATGTACAGAGAACAGACCTGGGTAACAAATTATATCTAGGTGTGTTGAGCTATGTGCTTGCTGTGGCAGGAGAACTGGAATCTGATGCTGCTGCCAAGTAGCCTTGCTTTCTACTGTTTATGTTCTTGTGCTTGCCTCTTGCCATCTGGTTATCTATGGTGTTAGCTGGTCTTACTGTCTCTGACTGGAGCTTGTCCGTCCTGTGAGCCTGTGTGTGTCGGCACTCCTTTGATCTTAGGGTCTGCTGTCATTGTTCAAGTTTCTCCTATGGAGCAGCAGATGGGATTCTTTGGACAAAGTCCAGACTGGTGAATCAGCTATTAAAGAATAGAAATACAAGTTTCTAGCTGTGGTTAGGTCAACATGAAATAACCCCATATTGATGGGAAATCTTTTCTATGTCATGATTACAACATATTATAGAATTCTCACAATGGAAAAATGGATATTCCCTACCTTCCTAATAACACCTACCCTGTCTAAAATAATGAATAAGTTTTGTTACATTTATATAGCACATTAGATTTCAAGGATTCTTTCACATATAATTCCAACTAGGCTATGATTTAAATATTGTATTCTTATATACAAAATGTTTCGCTTAGTTCTGACTCCTGTTTATATAGAGTTATTTTTTAAAGAACTATTAATGATAATGACATTCTTTTGGAGAAGACAGGGGAGGAATTGCACTATTATGAAGACTACAGAAAGCAAACATGCACAGTCACTTACATTGTCTTTGAAGCTTGTGGAAAATAAAATCAAATGCTTTTATTTACCTGCAAAAAACAACCAACCAAACAAACAAACATAAAGCTCACCTCAGAGTGTAGAAATTTTAAAATTGCATACTAATGCCCCTGATGTTGTATATGCTTCATTTTGGGGCTGTTAAATCCTCCTTACTTTAGTAATTGAAGAATTGGCTGTCCCTTCCTTCATAAAGGTCATCTAATAGGTCAAGTCAGGCTAT